ACTCGCTAGGGTTAGTGCCTGTGTACATAGATATTGAGAAGAATTTAAGAAGTAACAGGGGTATATCACACCCACTGTTTTTGAAAATTCTCGAAGCGAGGCCATCCGGTCCCGTACTAGTGGAAGGTTTAAGGCTTTTAATTGCTTGTGTAACAACAGAAGACAAGGGCCAGGCAACAGATCGTTTTATTATGAAAATCAACACGTATTTATACATATTTCAACTACATTATTATAGACAAGTGCAGTCATCTGATTGGTTGTTTGGGTAGACAAACGCAGGCTTCTGATTGGTTGTTTCGGGATTTCTTGACAAATAGAGTTCTCTATCTGCGAATCATATTTTGCCACGTTAACTTTGCTGTGATTGGTTGTTGACTCAGCCTTGTTCATATCTTCTCACGGCCCACATTAGTGACCTAGACCTTAACGTAGATTAGTGCCAACCAATCGGCTAGCAGCCTGCTCTCACCACACTCGTCCCCCCGTCAAATACGTGCGACTGAAGTCGGCTTGATCTACTTGGTGCAGGCGTCATCGTTGGCTTGTCTCGCTGTATCCATTTCTGGAGCTCGCTGACGTTCACGCGCCTCTTATTGTTCGCCATTGCGACTGTGTCTGCGTAACCCCATCTCGAAGTGACCATATATGGTCCTTCCCACTTTGGAAACTGTTTGCCTGACCCTGTCGAACATTCGTCCATACTTCGGCTCACACTTTCATATGCTGCTTTCACCCGACCTCCCAGCAGCGTCCCAAGTAGCAGCTCCATCGCTGACAGATCTTGAACGCCACTCAACTGCGCAGAAGCCTTGAAGTCCTGCCCGAAGATCCATATGTCTCCATCGAAAACAGCAGGGCATAGGCTTTTCATTTGTCGGTAGGCAGTGACACCAAATGTAACAACAGAAGACAAGGGCCAGGCAACAGATCGTTTTATTATGAAAATCAACACGTATTTATACATATTTCAACTACATTATTATAGACAAGTGCAGTCATCTGATTGGTTGTTTGGGTAGACAAACGCAGGCTTCTGATTGGTTGTTTCGGGATTTCTTGACAAATAGAGTTCTCTATCTGCGAATCATATTTTGCCACGTTAACTTTGCTGTGATTGGTTGTTGACTCAGCCTTGTTCATATCTTCTCACGGCCCACATTAGTGACCTAGACCTTAACGTAGATTAGTGCCAACCAATCGGCTAGCAGCCTGCTCTCACCACACTTTTACTATTAATTGATTAGTGAACACAATGCTTTCAAGGGAAGAGCTATTAAGGAGGGCGGTTTCACCAGGCATATGTGTTTCCAAACTAAAGTTTGCAAACCAATCACTGAAAAGTTCACAGATGGTGGCAGGCTCACTGTAGATTACTTTGTCGTGAAGTGAGTAGGGGATTTCCCTTGCCGACTGCATTTGTTTTTTAAGAGGTGCCGTTAAGTTATAAACTTTGGAGGTACTTTCAAGTGCCGTTAACTCTTCGTCGAGGTCCTTTTGAGAGCGTAGGCGCTTGAGAGATTCAAGAGACTCGTGGATTGAGAGCAATAGTGATATATCCTTAGTGGAATAGTACTGTTTCTTCAGCTTCCTTAACTTATTACGGTGTGCCCTTGGAATATATTCAGTTCGGTGTCTACTTAATTTCACTATTTTCTTTGGAGCAACTGTATCTAGACAAAGGGTAACATTCCTGTAAAATAGAGTTACTACGGCCTCCAGGGAGTCAGTGGTAAAATAGTCATCCCATTGACAGAGTCGAATAAGTTCTTGGACTAATCCCCAGTCTGTATATTTGTAACTACGACATATTGTGCTTCCTGAATCTTGTTTGTTTCCTGTATTTAGTGGTGAGAAAGGCAGAGAGCAGAGTACCATTCTATGGTCACTACTGGAAAATCTATTAACAACATATTGGATACTGGGATTGTGTCATGACAAAAAACAAGGTCCAACATGTTGTCACCACGAGTAGGTGTCTGGACGTGTTGTTGCCATCCATAACAGTCGATAGTGGCAAGTAATTCGTCGAAGCGTTGGGGGCCGGAACTACTTAACCAATTGACTTCTGGAAGATTGAAGTCCCCTGCAATTATTTTGTAATTAGTACCAAACCAGGAGGCGTGTGTAAACGATTTAGCTAATAACGCATCAGTTTCTTTTGTTGCGCTTGGTGCTCGATAAACACAGCCTATGAGAAGTTTTTACTTATCTCCATGTGAGACAACCCAGAATGAGTCAAGTACCTTATTCAGTATTTCATCTTCCACCTTACTGACTACGAATGAGTTATGTATATATATGAGACATCCTCCACCACGCTTGCAATCTCTATTTGCACGGTGTACAGTGTAATCATCGATACCTATATGCACATCAAGTACAGAGGATGAGCACCATGATTCAGTAATCAGAGCTACAGTAGGCTTGGCGACTAATAATAATGTCCTTAGTTCAGATAAGGAACGTGCATTAATTAGCAATATCGTGAATAAGTCACGGGATACTACAAACTGGCTCAAAATGTCACCATAACCTAAATCTATTTGTGCGTCAGCACCGCAAGAGTTTATGAATGAAAGGGAGGTCAGACTGGGTGTCTGTACGTAGGGGTTGGAGTGCAATGAGGTTGTCCTAGGTGCCATGGGTCATACCAGTGATTCGGTAAACCTGGAAATTTTACCATGTGTTCCTGGCTATAAGGATAGTAGAGGTTGGGCCTAGGTTGACGGTTAAAAAGCATAGCATCAAAAGGTCTACCATCCAACCGCTATTCGTCATACCGGTACACACCTTCGTGTTGTTGTTTTGACTTAAAGGAAATTGTGAGGGAAGGTGCTTTGGCTGCAAGACTTTAGGAGTCTTGGAGCCTGACCTTCTATAAGGTGGAGCATGCTGAAAACCTCCAGACATACTCGTGTTTTGAGAGGAGTTTTTCGTAACGAGTGATGGTTTGTTGACATTCTTACTCTCAGCAGGCTTATTGAATACAAAGTATTCTTCCCCATCATTAGTCTCAACCCTGCGAAATTTGTTCATCGTGGTGAGGTTACTTCGTTTGGGGTAAAATTTATTAGAACATCTTGCAGAAATTCTAGCTATTATAACATCTTTCGATGAGGCTTTATTTACAGGGGTACTGGTATCTAAATCAGTTCCTAGTTCCATTGGCAAGCGTGGTTGCTGTGTAGTTTGCTGAATGCTAGTTTCAGCACTAGGTGTCTGTTGCTGTGCACGATCCTTATTTGGTAAATCAAAGCTAGCTAGAGCTAGAGGAGGTGACCAGGTTATTACTACGCATTATTCTGCGCTGACACGGTGTTTTATCCTGAGCTACGGTTGTAGACTTATAACTGCTATTCAGTCTTAAGTGATGCTGACATTTAGTAAACTTACTAGCATCAAGGGAATTACTGAATTTAAAAATGATGGGACAATTAGCCTGGTTAGACTTTTTACGAAGTCTTTTGCATTCACATGGAACACTAGCCATGCCACAACAAAACAGGATTTTGTGTCTTACAGTTTTCAGAGGCAGAGAATCTGGGACGTTGTAAACCATAGCTTGGTGAGAAGAGGTTATACGCTTCATCAACTCCGTAGCCAAGCAGTCAATCAGATTTTCAGCTTTATTTAGGTTGTCTGGAGATATTTTAGGATGTTGTTTTAACAGACAGGCTATTGGGTCGAAATCCGAAAGCTCGTTTTGAGTTACATCCAGTAAAGACTTAACCTGGCCAATATCAGAAAGGCTCTCCGTGGTATTTGAGATTGGCAGTGACATCCTACCAAACTGAAATAATTTTTCCTGAAGTTCACTTACTTGCCTCTGGATATCTTTCATAAGGAGGTTTAATTTACAGAACTCAGAGTTCTCTAACAGAACATTGTCAATGGAGTTGAAGATTGAACGATCAATTCTTGGTTGTTTGCTCAAAATCAACTTCCCCAATTTTCGCGGAGGCATCAATACGACAGTCATCGTCTCATCGGTCGCTGTTCAGAAAGAAGATTGAAACATCGTCAGAAGTAATACAGAGATTTATTATTGTAATATTTGTTTTCAGACCTTAGTTGCTTAGTTCGTTTATTCCTTTTATATGTTGGTGTAACAATACAGAAATATCAAACGTCAGATCGGTGTTTTGGTTTTTGCGTCCGTTATTACTAAGCGTTTCTGAGAAATCTTCTAAGAACAGCGTGGGCCCGAGCGTAGCGAGAGCTGGGCATTAACGGTTTATGAGACTTTGCTGACAGTTTCTGACGATGGAAACAGATCTGGCGGATTCAAACAGTTGGTGAAATTTTGGATAGTCGCCGTTCATTTTCCTGGTGCCGGTCAAGTCCTCTTTGAACAAGCAATATCTGGAACCGTTTTGGAATTGGGTCAAGTTCAACAATGCCTGGGTCAAAGAAGGGACAGAGTGTCTTGGATGCAAACAGGAAAGTAAGTCATGGTGACTTGTCTGTTAATTGTAACGATGTGTCTGATGTTAAGCATGACATGGTTGATGTTACTGTTTCGCCGTTCAGGGATAATAGGAACATCAAACTCCCTAAATTTGAACCACGGTGTTTCGATGGAAACCCGGCTGATTATTTACAATTTGTAAAGGAGTTTGAGATCATGCTGAATAGTTTTCTATTAAGTGATGAATTGAAGTTAATGTATTTGATGAGATATTGCACTGGAGATGCTGCAAGAGCTATACAGTGTTGTAAGTTTATGAAGCCAAAAGAGGGCTACGATGAGGCTATGAGCATATTACGTCGAAGGTTTGGAAGACCCTCGATGATTGCAGGGAAATTATTCGAGGCTGTTGAGGGTAATGGTGGTCAGTTACAGGATGACTCCCAGGCACTCACTGAGTTTTTAGATAATTTGCTAATTTACAAGAATGCAATGATTTCGATGAATCGAATGAGTGACCTCAACTCGAGTTTTATACTAGAAGTAATAGCAAGACGTCTACCTACTCGACTGCAAAGGAAGTGGGTGAAGATGAGCTCCCGTATGGAGGATGAGGGTATCGAGCCAAAGTTTGATGATATCCTGAAACTGGTAAATACTAGTGTCAATGAATCTATGAGCAAGTTTGTCAGTCTATTACATCTCACCCCTAGAATAGAGCAGTCTGAGATCAAAATGCAATCATTGATGACGAGTAGGCCTCAGAGAGGTGGATATCGAGAAGGCTCCATGATGTCTAGTAATGCATATAGACCTAGTGAGTGTAACAGGTTTCGTAGTACATCCTCAACAGATAAGTTACAAGATACAAGACAAACACGGTTGTGCTTGACACGTGTGCAAGAGGTGCATACAGAAGTGAACTGTGAACCGGTGAGCAAGTTCAGTGATAAGCTAAATGTAAACTCCAGGTCTGACTCCAAATTGTGTGACGATAACGGTGTTGTGAAAAAGTCTGTAGTTGCAACTGGTAAGCCGTTGTTGAATAGAGTGTCACAGAATAGAGTTACTGCTTCAGAGTGGAGTTCTGACTCCACAAGTTTACAAAGTATAACTAGTCAGAGTGAAGATATAAAACCTTTAATGATTTGTGAGGAGGAACCAAAATTGTCTACTTCTGTTATTAAAGAGTTTGAAAATGACAAAGTTGACGGTAAAGTGAATATTCGTGATAATGATCATGATACTTCACAGTTGTCTTTGGTTGATCATTATGAGATGCGGGATATGCCTACTACTGCTAAGTTAAATAAAGGTTCTGTACAACTACAACGTGAAGTAGAATTGAACGCAGATGCAGTTCCAGAAGGTGTGCATACTTGTGAGACAGTCAGTGTAATTGATCAGCCTGTAGCCCACCTATCATCAGATGATAGTGCTAAACCCGAACTAGTAGTGAAAGACAGCAGTGGTGGTAATCTTGCAGTTGGACAACTATCTGAAAGCCGAAAAAGAACAGCTTCTGATCCACCGCTAAGTTCATCACCTTGTGTCACTCAGTCATCGTTGGTGTTTTCATCCACAATGAAACAGATGCCCATCAACTCTAGTATCTTCTGCAATGACTATGGTAGTATCAGTTCGTTTGAAAGGACGAATATCAATGGTCAGTTTAGTGTGGATAAGCCAAGTGTAAAGGAGAGAGTTATTGTTAAATTGACTTGCACGAATAAAGGCATTTCTAGTTTCAAGTTACTAATTGAATGTTATTATCTTTGGTGTAAATTACTCTGTTTTTACACTTGGTTGATGAGATATGCCGTGTGTTTGTTCGTCATCTATATTCTACGATACAATGACATGGGCGTGTTGCCGTTCAGATTTGAGGATTTAGCTCATAGAAGGAAGTTAGCAAATGAACTCTGCGACGATTTTCCAACCTAGAGCGTCAACCTGAGAAGGGTGGTAGGCGTACTGCTGTAAGTCCTACAGTTCTTCAAAGGGTAGCGCATCAATGAGCAGTCCAATGTGCTTGGTGTATGATCTTGTACATATGTTCATATTGTATATACTGAATTGATACCATCTTTCATCTATCTGTTGGTAATTCTGTTTGTGTCCGGATGACTTCCACTTGGATCATCCAGCTGAGAAGGAATGTAGGCGTACTGCTGTAAGTCCAACAGTTCTTCACGGGTAGTTTGCCGTGCCAGAATACACAACATTTGATGTGTTGATTGTACATATGTTTGTGTTAAATAATTGTGTGAGTTCCAATTGATGTAATTGTTGGTTAATCTTGTTTGTGTCCGGACATCCCACAAATTACAATCGTCAACCTGAGAAGGGTTGTAGGCGTACTGGTGTAAGTCCTGCAATTCTTCAAAGGAATTCCACCAAGGCAGGATCGGCGAGGTTGTTTGTACTGTTTGTATATACGTGTGGTGTGTCATATCAATTGGTGTTATTTGAATTCATTGTGTTTACTCGTTGTTTTCGTGTCTTGTTGTTATTGCGTAATTTTGTTAAAATTTTCGTCGTGATTACTTCTGAAGTTGTGTCCACTCTTCTACATCCGTGAATGAATTGATTGATGTTAAGGACAGCAGATGGGTCGTATACGCCGGGGAGGCTAGGCTATTGCTGAGAATGAAATGCACACGGAGATAGTTGTTAGCTGCGGTCCGACACGCCGGGGAGAAAGAGTGTAAACGACTGAGGCTCGCATGCGTCACCACTACTAGAACTGAGGCAGAATGAGTGACAAGCGATTTCAGTGGTAATTGGTAATGAGTAGATAAGAGGATGTGCGTAGAGTATCGTGAGGTGCTGCCATGGTCACTTTGCATTCTGCAAGAGTCATTCTAGTAAGTGGCGATTGTGTTGCAAGATGTCAAGAGGAGGTCTCTGTCTGGAGGCGCAGGTCGTCATTGATGTGTGAGATTGTGCTGTGGGTATGCTTGTGGTGTGTTGGCTTTCCTGTTTGTTTTCCATTTCAGCTCTGTCCGTGTGACCCAGGTTCTCGCAATGGCATCCAAGTCAACGTGCATTGATCGTGAAGGAAAAAAGGGTTGGATCCCCTTTTTGCCGGGGAGTGTCAATGGAGTTGAAGTTTGAACGATCAATTCTTGGTTGTTTGCTCAAAATCAACTTCCCCAATTTTCGCGGAAGCATCAATACGACAGTCATCGTCTCATCGGTCGCTGTTCAGAAAGAAGATTGAAACATCGTCAGAAGTAATACAGAGATTTATTATTGTAATATTTGTTTTCAGACCTTAGTTGCTTAGTTCGTTTATTCCTTTTATATGTTGGTGTAACAATACAGAAATATCAAACGTCAGATCGGTGTTTTGGTTTTTGCGTCCGTTATTACTAAGCGTTTCTGAGAAATCTTCTAAGAACAGCGTGGGCCCGAGCGTAGCGAGAGCTGGGCATTAACGGTTTATGAGACTTTGCTGACAAACATCTGTCACCTGCATCACAGTAGTGAGATCTGCACTCAAACCATTTTGAGAGCTAGTGGTTGATACCGTATTACACGGCCGTAATGTAGTTATAACCGAATTTGAGCCACTGTTTAAACAATTGTGTTTCTACGAACACATTTTCTAGAGATTTGGACCATAATTTCAAGAATTATGTGACAAGAAGTAGTAAATAAATTTCACAGCAAACACCTGCAAAAATGTCACCAATGTCGAGCTACATCCATATCCTGACTATAATAATAATGTATATTTTCATATAAACATTTACAGGCACGCTCAAGTATGATATAGTCTCAAATCGTAGACTGTCTAGAAGTTAATAATGTTTAAACAACTAAATATTTGATATATATAAATACACTGATTGTCTGAACCAGGCCGTATAGTTATTGAATTGTACAGTTGTCCTCCAGGTTGCGCCGGAAAACTGACATCGTTTCGTTTTCATCTCGTGGTTGTAGGCATACGATAACCAACCAATGATGAGGTGAGTACAACGTTTACAAGGGATTGGAAGCTGTTTTAGAAAAGTTAAAGTGCTAAGGTGAATCACTAAAGTGTAATAAATTAAGAAAGTGCAATATATCATCAATAAATACGTTTATATGGAAAACAGAATAGGGAAGTAATTAATCCTTAGGCCGACAACGTTCATTTGCAATGTATAATGCTACCTATATAGTTCTCACTATCATGATATCCCCTTCTGATTTTAATACATTTATCCTCATGCCGGTATTTTTATTTCATAACTTTTTGTGCATTTGGTGCGCACGCTTACCCTACAGAGAATAGGAATATAATAAGTCGAGTCAATTTAATAAAGAGCTATAAAATGTTAGGTTTAATGGAATATAATGAGGATCGAGTAAAGACGTTATTAGAAAATGAATGAGATAAGACGTTGTGAGGTGGTATTTAAAGATCTGACAATGGATGTGGCGAGAGCAGGCTGCTAGCCAATCGGTAGACATTAATCGACGCTGATTGGTAGATATTAATCTAAGCTTCCGTGGGCAAATATGATTCGCCGATAAATGGCTCTACTTTCCGAGAAATATCGAAAACAACCAATCAGGAAACTGTGTTTGTCTTCCAAGAAACAATCAATTAGAAGACCGCATTTTTCTGCTTGCATAAGCCTTATTATTGTACATAAAATATATATAAATACGCGTTGATTTTCGTAACAAAACGATCTGTTGCCTGGCCCTTGTCTTCTGTTGTTACATGGATAGCAAGTTAATTTATAAGATGCCCGATAAATCTGTGCAGATCCCGCGTGGTCGCATCTCAACAATAGGCTGAGCGAATGGTATATATTTAAAGGCAGAAGCATGATCCGTCTAGGCGTTCAGCATTATCTTTTTCAAGATAAAGATCTAAACCCTCATAAAAATCAGAAATATCTCGAGCCTTCAAATTGCATATTGCCGTTCCTGCAGAATGGGGCGATTCACATTAGTGATCACCACCATATCTACCGATCACGGATACGTGAGATTACACAGTGTGAATGCACCTGTGCCATTAACAAAGATTTGCAGTCATATCTCTAGTAGTTCTTCCAACTGACTGCCAACGATTTTATGAACCAATACCAGTTTTTCATTTGACCCACCCAAACACATTTTAAACCTTAACATGTGCTGGCTAGCATTATCCCTCTAGGAAGGCGATGGCTTGATATGCCATCACGTGTTCTAGCCATCTCGACCTATTCAGCTTCCCTACCTTGAAGACTAACTTACTCCCCCCACCCAAACATTTATGCGTAACCTCAACACCACTCGCCATACTATACTGCTTTAACCATGAGACAGAACACAGACACTTATAGTCAAACACCGGTATCCTTTCCACCAGGGGTTACTTCTCATAGTCTAGGTGTATAATATCATCAGCAAACCGTAATTTGATGAGACTATTCCCTGATAAGTCTCTAAAGTCGATTATAGACTATCCCACTAATATACGTATGATTGGATTGAACTGATATAAGGATGACAGTTTAAGAATTGAGCTTTGTGTTGCATCCCACTCAGAAATGTGTTTTCTCGGATAATTTGCAAACAGTAATCACTGAGTAGAAAACATCCTGTAGACTTTATGAAACTCATAAACTGACTCACTACTTTTGCAGGCATTATAGTGTTTCCTCAATAAGGCGAGATTTGTATATTTGGGCTGCATAAAACGAGTAAGTAGTATCCTGACAATACCAACGACTAAAACAAGTCTAGGAATTATGCACTACAACATTTACTTTATTGAATACTCCAGCAGACTTTACATAAACGCTTGACAGATATCAAATTTATGTGGGAGGTCAGTAAGATTTAGTAAACTCAAAAGTACTTTCGGTTTCCATAGGAGTTCCCCATACCGAATTTGTTCCTTTACAACCTCAATTAAATAACGCTGACGTGGAAGAAATTCCATTCTTCATTACTAAACTCAACGAAAAGAATCATGTTTTTTATTCTTAAAAACAGGAGCATTCGTAATGTTTCACTTTATGTAAATGAAGTTACATACAGTTGCAATAAGAACTCAGTGCAACTCGATGCACAATAGTATATCTACAAACAAAGTGAAAAATAATGTCCTCCTTACCTTATGAACAACTTGTCCTGATTCCGGGATAA